GCAGGGTGATTTTTAGGTTAATTCTTAAGTCCTACCACCACAGGAATCTGCAAGAGCGCTGTCTCTTTAAATATCCAAAATAGTCAAGCCGCTTTTTAAACCTACAGAATGGCGGCGGCCTCCGGACCGGCAAAAGTCTACAGCTCAGCCCACCTTTCTCTTCACCTTCTCTGTTTGTTCCCCAGCCACCGTGCACAGTCCATGCAGTCCCTGGCTAGCAGGGTGATTTTTAGTTTAATTTTTAGGTCCTACCACCACTCGGGAATGTCCAGGCTGTTTGTGCCGTCACGGGCACTCAGGTTCCTGCCAAACCGCAGCTCTGTATGTCTCCTTTTTTGGTATTTTCACACAAATTTTTCTGCTAGCTGGGGTTTAGTCTACTTCTGTATCCTTCCCTTCAAGGCTCAGGGGTCCATGATCATCTTTTGAGTCTGTGTCAATTGGTTTCCCTTTTTTTTTGTTGAAGAGGGTCTGTGTAGTCCTTCTGCCTAGTCCGCCATCTTGCAGGCACTCCGCACCGCTAGTCTAGAGGAGACGGTAATTGTATTTCCGTATGAAGGAGAAATAACCTGGATGGGTATGTTCTAGAATCTTCTGACAGTGCCTCCTTCAAAGACAGCCCCAGCACTATACCGGGGGCAGGAGGTGGGAAACCTCCAAGATTATGACATTCTGTTTTAAACCAAACCCTACAGAAAAGGTCGAAAGCTTTTAACAAGTCTTAGTTTTGATTCGTTTGCATTCTTGTAGCAAGATTGGATTGGAGCAAGAGTAAGCTGTGTAAACAGAGGTTGACATGAGAATGTCTCATAAAACTTGGATACAGAAGAATTTTGTAGGCTCACTGTATGAAGAGCCCAGGACAATACCGGGACAGAATTTGTGACTTAGCAGCACTTTAAAAAACCAAAAACCAAACTCACTGCTGTCGTGTTGGATCCGACTCAATAGTGACCCCTCCTTAGGTTTCCGAGGCAGTATCACTACGGAAGTAGATTGCCCGGCCTTCCTTCCGAGGAGTGGCTGGTGGATTTGAACTTCCCACCTTCTGGTTAGCAGTCCAGTGCCTTAGGTACTTTAGCTTCTCCCTTAAACCAAAAGAAACCAAACCCACTGCCATCAGGTTGAATCCAACTCATAGCGACCTCACAGGACAGAGTAGAACTGCCTACGGGGTTTCCCAAACTAAATCTTTATGGAAGCAGACTGCCTCATCCTTCTCTGCAGAGCACCTGGTCGGTTAGAACCGCTGATCTTTCCATTTGCAACTGAGTGCCTCAGCCACTGTGCCCCTAGAGTTCCTGTCTACCAAGTTTCCTCAGGGATTTCCTCCATCCTGTGGCGATAGCCCCAGGGTTGGAAAGCCCAGTACTGTGGATGAGAGTGTATGTGGCTGCGGGATACAGGAGTAGAGAGGCGGCAGATGAGCTCAGAGAAGGTCTGCTCTGTGAGCTGTGGCCGGTGTTGGAGGCTGTGAGCGTCCCTCAGGGCTCTCGGTCACAGACAGCAGAAACTGACTCTGGATAAGATAAGAAGATTGCTTAGAGGACGGCGCCTGGCAACGGGGACAGGGTGTAGAGGGCCTGCTGCCAGAGCCATCTGCTGGGGCCCCCACTGCCCGCCAGTGTGCCACTCACCGCTCCACCCTGTTGGTCTGCTGCCCCGGTACTCACCAGTGTTCTCCATGCTGCTGGAGCAAAGTGTCCTAAAACACCCTCGAGGGCCCCGAACACCCCAGATTCAGGCACAGCTGAGATACTGGTGCCCATGCAGGACCGCATAGTCCTGGCATCCCAGATCTGTGGTTCCCAAACCCTGGATGCGGCCCTTGGAGGAATGTACCAGCTCCCCCAAACATGGACTCCTAAGCACGCTCACGCACTGAGTCTTCGGATGGGGCTTAGTCCTCATTGGCTGTTTCTCAGAGCCTTTGGGTGGGCTTAGTCCTCACTGGCCATCTCCTTTAAGAGAAATAAGGGCTGGATGTAAGCCTTAACTTCGCACACATTGCCCGTTAGCACTCAACTGCCGCAGAGGAGGCTTTCAGAGTCTTCGTACTGAGGATCCTATTCAGTTTCATTTTCACAGCTATAGTAAACAGCGAACTTTTGAGTGGAGTGATGTCAGTATTTTTAAGAAACACAGGAACTTTGCTTGATATTTACTTGGAATGAATGTAACTTCAACTTACATACCTTCTGTAACATAATTAAAAATACTGTGGGTGTATGATTGCATGTACTTCCTCCGGTGCAGATGGTATGTTACTATACCCAAGACGGTTTATGTGTCTGTATATCACGTTACTATACAGGGCTGTCACGGTAAAGCCAAATGTAAAGGCAATTTATGGATATTTATTTTTGTTTGGACTCTGATTTTTTGCCTCATTCACTAATTGAACTGCCCCCACGTGGGAAGCTGGTGTGTGGAATGATAATGATGCAGTGTTTGGCCTGGTGGGGTTGGAGACGCTGGGTTCTGTCTGGGGTCAGTTACACAGTCTGCTTCAGCACGTGTGGGGTCTGACCTGCAGTTGAACATCTGTGGAGCGATGCCCATCTGTGGGACCATCGAGGGGAAGCCAGCCTTCGGCTGTGAGGCAGAAACCCAGACGGGAGACTTGGAGAACTTGGAGCCGGACCGCGTCGTTGGAGGCGAGAAGAGCCTCCAGCTGTCCACCGAGGGGTTCATCACACTGACCTACAGGGGACTGCCCCACCCTGCCAAAGGTGAGTGGGAGCCAGGCTGCTGGGGTGGCCAGAGGGGTCGTGGCTGCTCTGCACAGCAGGACACTCTTCCTGAGGACAGTATCAGGTTTCCTGTTGACTCTTCTCACAGGGACCTCCCCCTACCCCTGATCCTGGGTCACACATGCATACATTAACCCTAAACCTAACCTGAACCTAAGAGTAACCCTACAACTATCCCTAAACCTAACAGTAACCCGAACCCTAAACCTAACCTTAACCCTAAAATCAATGCTAAGCCTATCCCTAAACCTAACCATAAATTTAAATCTAGAGCTCTCCCTTACATACAGACTCATACAAATAACACACACTCACACGTTAACACACACACTCACACATACACATTCACACACACATGCACACTCACACACCTCCCTTGCTCACCTGCCCTCTGGCTCCTGTATTTTGACCAGGGAAGGGTCCTTTAAAAGTCACTCCATAACTTGAGGGAGACTGGGTGGAGTCGCGGCCCCCCCCTCCCTGCACGCTGTCTCCTGGGCCCCTCTACGTGCTGCTGCTCCCCTGACCAGTGCTGTCACGCTGCCTATATCTCCTGTCAGATGTGGAAGGAATGATGGCAGATAACTGAAATTATGCCGTTTTCTCCTGACTTTCCTTCCTCATCTTCATTCGGTCTTCATTTTATTTTTATGTAATAAACACAATTGTACTGTGTTAAATTTGTCCAAATTCCTACTCTTTTCTGCACTGTGTTACCTAGCAGAGACATAGTTGCCTTTTTCTCCCTGGCATTGAACCACAAGAGCAAGGCTGAGCCTTCGTGGTAATGGCAGTGCTGACCAGTGCTCAGGTGTCTTTGTTGCGCCAGGCACTGTGTGAAGATGTGCATGCACTGCCTGGCCAGTTCTTACAACAGCCTTTGGGCTTTACTGTCCTGTGCTCCAGGCCTCCTGCTTAGCATCCTCGTCCTTCCATGGGTGGCATCAAGGAGGGTCAGCGAGCCACTCCCGTGCCCTGTCCAGTGCCAGGAGCCCCTTAGTCGGCAGAGCTGGGGCTGAACCCAGCATCCTGGATTCTAGTCCTGGCTTTGCTGACTAATGCTTTTCTATTTGCCATATGAAACAGGTCCATAGAAGTTTGGTCATTTGCAGACAGTTGAATAAATAGTTCTTGGGTGGTGCCATTGGTTTGCATTCAGTTACTAACCTCAGTGTTGGTTCAGACTCACCTGGTGGCTCCTTGGGAGAAAGGCCTGGTGATCTCCTTCTGTCAAGGTCACACCCGAGAAAGCCCTGTGGAGCAGTTCTAGTCTGTAACGTCTGGGTTTCCGTGAGTCGGAGTTGACACGACAGCAGTAGGTTTGAGTTTTGGTTTCTGATAAACGAACTAATGAAATTACATTGTTTTCTGAGTCTGTGCTAATGGACTAATGTTATATTTCAGTACTTTCTTGGATAGTAAGAATGCCAAAATATTCAGCTCACGGTATATGCCATGATAACATGGGTCACTGTGGCTCACAGTCTGGGCCCGTCACGATGTGGGTCACTGTGGCTCGTCATTATGTTACAGTAAATTTGGTCAGTCTGTAGCTCAAATCAGTTGTCTTGAACTGATGTGTTTGCACCACGTAACTGCCTTAGACAGCCACTGAGCTGCTTCCTCACAGTAGCCAATCATTGCCGCTCTGTGCTTACTGGGCTGCAGTTGGGGTTATTGCTCCAGCCCTAAGTCTGACCCTCTTTTTCTACAGGCACCTCTGATGCTTTCATCATCCGCTTTGTTTGTAACGACGATGTTTACCCAGGAATACCCAAATTCCTGCATCAGGATATCGACTCTGGGCTTGGGATCCATGACACGTTCTTTGAGTTTGAAACGGCTCTGGCCTGTGTGCCTTCTCCAGTGGATTGCCAAGTCACCGGTACAGACGTGCAGTCGAGGGGTTGGGGACTGGTTGGGGCTGAGGCAGTGCACACGTGTGTGCATGCTGTGTTTTACAGGCACCGTACATTTGTGTGACATGTTTTCTTTGAATGATGCCTGGAGTTGTCATGCTTCTCTGGAAGTGAATCAGGGCACAGAATTCAAAGTGTGAAGCTGTGTTTTGGGATCCAAGTGCTGCTTATGCTCAGAGAACACCTCTCCGGCTAGGCGGGGAATCAGCTCCATGCTGTCAGAGCTGCTTTTTGAGGAAGGAAAACAGTGGAGGATGTTGAAGCTTTCTCAGCTCTCCTCTTGGGCCCCTTACTCTCTGCTGCATCAACTGGCCTCGTCCACGGGGAGCTGTTACTGTGAAAGTAGTTGGGTGGCACAAAGATGCATGTGTGTTTCTGCAGGAACAGCCTGTTGCCTTTGGTGGCTTTCCTTGCTCCTGTTATGATTTCCCCTTTGTGCATTGTCAGTCTCCCTACTGGGGCTTAAAGGTGGTCCTCCGGAGACTCAGGGACGTGGGTTAGCCAGCGTCTTGTGTTTCAGATGCCATCGGGAACGAGTATGACCTGAGTGCCTTGAGCACAGTAAGGAAGCCTTGGACCGCTGTGGACACCTCAGCCAGTGGCAAGAAGAGAACTTTCTATCTGAGCGTTTGCAGCCCTCTCCCTTTTATTCCGGGATGCCACGGTGCGTCCTCTTTTATCTCGACTTCACTCTGTCCCTGTGTGTGGGAGCGTGGAAGTCCGTCTCCCCACTCCTGGCTGATTGTCCTGTTCTTCCAGGCAGTGCAATGGGCTCGTGCTTAGTGTTAGAAGACAAAAGCTGGAACCTGGGGGTGGTGCAGATTAGCCCCCAAGCCACAGTGAATGGGTCCCTGAGCATCGTGTACGTCAATGGCGACAAGTGTGGTAACCAGCGGTACTCCACCAGGATCATGTTCGAATGTGCTCAGACTTCGGTATGTGTTCAGACTAGCAGTGAGCCTCTGTAGCTCCGGTTCCCCTTTTTCTGTTTGTCTGAGGCTTCCATCTAACTTAGGATTTGTCTGTCTGTTCATGGTGTCAGACCATCTGTAGGATTTGATGAGCATACTATATATATTAAAAAAAAAAGAAAAAAATTCATTGCTGTGGAGTCAAGTTCAACTCATAATTATCTTATAGGACATAGTAGAACTTCTCTATAGAGTTTCCCAAGCTATAAATCTTCACAGAAGCAAAGCCCAAACCAAATCCACTGCCATCGAGTCGATTCTGACTCACAGTGCCCCTAAAGGACAGAGTAGAACTGTCCCATAGAGTTTCTAAGGCTGTCATCTTTATAGAAGTAGACTGCCACATCCTGTGGAGTGGCTGGTTGGTTTGAACTGCTGACCTTTTGGTTAGCAGCTGAGTGCTTAACCACTGCATCACTGCTAAAGGGGCAGGGAGGTGGCACCTCTGACCCCCTGTAACTGCACAAGAGGAGGACAGAATCACCATCAGCAGCCCAAGGCATGTTCCTCTGAGGCCAGACATGCCGCCACCCCTCAGCCCTTTTACCAACTGTCTCTCCCGTGGCACCCACCACCTCTTTGCTGGGTTTGATAATCTGCTGCAGTGGTCACACAAAACTCACGGAGTACAGGGTTTATTAGGGAAGATGGTTACAATTTGAATCCAGGAATGTGCTCAGGATTGTGTTCTTCGGTCAGGATGGTCCCCCCCTGCTGTGTCCTTAGACATGCCTCTCTGGCTCTTGGTCTCTTGGCCTGGCCTCTCCGGGCCAGGTAAGCCTCCTGCTCTGTCTTGTGCCTCTTGGTTCTGCTGCCACCGTCTTTCAGCCAGGCGTGTCTCTCTCTCAGCCACACGTCTGTCTCTCAGCAGCATGTCTCTCTCAGCCAGCAGTGGCAAAACAAACCAATCCCAACATCAGAGTTCTATACACCTGAGAGAAAGTGAACTTTCCTAGAAGATTACTTCATGCTTCCCCAGGTGGATGGTTTTAACAAGCAGCTTCTCAGTTACTCACAGCAAAGTAGGAGTTACAAAGACTACGGCTAGAAAAGCCACACCACGTAATTGACTGCACCACACCAAGGCTTCTTGGTAGTTAATGTAGTCCCCTAGATCTACACGGATGGTTCAGTGGTAAATTCTTTCCTGTGGGAGAGCCACGTTCGAGTCCTGGCCAGTTCACTTCATGTGTCTGTGGAGGCTGTTATGTTACCATGATGCTGAGCAGGTTTCAGCAGAGCTTCCAGACCAAGGGAGACCAGGAAGAAAGGCCTGGTCCACTTCGAGAAATCAGCCAGTGGAAACGCTTGTGGATCATGATAGTCTGATCCGTGGCTGACCACGAGGAGGCACAGCACCTGGCACCGTTTTGCTCTGTTGGGCGTCAGGTCGCCATGAGTTGGGCTGCCTCTACTGCTACTAACAACACCACCCTTTTGCTCATGGAGGTTAGCACTTGGGTATTATTTGTGGCTGTCATTTGGCTGATTTCTTAGGAATTGAAAACAAGCTTTTGGTTCTCTTGCAGGGATCCCCAATGTTTCAGCTTTTAGATGACTGTGAGTATGTGTTTGTCTGGAGAACAGTGGAGGCCTGCCCGGTAGTTCGAGTGGAAGGTGAGTCAGGCTGCCCTGGTCCTTACCAGCCAGCATGAATGTGAGACGCAATAGACACTCTCGTTCCTAGTTTGGATATGAAACCGTGTAGTGGTGGCCATGTGGCTGACCATGGAGCTCTTATCATGGGCAGGTAACTCTGATGAGCTGCACTGCCAATCCTACCAGGGAGGTGGTAGGTGTTCCTTGAGAGCCCTGACTTGGGGCTCTGTGTTGCTTTGGTGGACACCAGGTCTTTATCCTGTGTTGTAGGCTTCTAGGAAGCTGTGTGCAAGCAATTTGTATTACCTGTAAGCAAACCAAACCAAACTCACTGCCATTGAGTGGATTCTGACTCATAACAACCCCCATTAGGTTTCCAAGGCTGTATATCTTTACAGAAGCAGACTGCCTCGTTTCTTACACAGAGAGGCTGGTGGGTTTGAACCACTAACCTTTTGGTTAGCAGCCAAGTGCCTTAACTACTGTAACCCCAGAGCAACTTGTTTTACTTGTAACAAAAAAGGAAAAAAAAAAAACTGGCATTGAGTTGCTTCCAACTCATAGCGACCCCTATTGGGTTTCCGAGGCAGCAAATCTTTATGGAAGTAGATTGCCCTATCTTCCTTCTGTGGAGCAGCTGGTGAGTTTGAACTGTCAGCCTTCTGGTTAGCAGTCAAATGCCTGAGGCACTGCCCTACCAGAGTTCCTTTGTATTACCTGTATGTGAAATAAAATAATGTGGAATGGCCACTAATACCTGTTGGGAGTATTTGAAGGCCATACTTACGTGATTGAAATCTGTGTACTCTCTTGCCCAGTGTGACTGTGTGTAATCGCCCTTGCCCTCTGTTTCCTGTTTGTTGCCAAAGGGGACAGCTGTGAGGTGAGAGACCCCAGGCACGGCAATGTCTATGACCTGAAGCCGCTGGGTCTGAATGACACGATCGTGAGTGCTGGAGAGTACACGTACTACTTCCGCGTCTGTGGAAAGCTTTCCGCAGGAGTCTGTCCAACTCAAGACAGATCCATGGTTGTCTCATCCTGTCAGGAGAAGCAGGGACCTCATGGCTTTCACAAAGTGGCAGGTACTGTGTTTTTTATTCTACTTTTGCTGCAAGTGAATGGAGTTAGGTGTTAAGATTTCAGCTGAAGAGTGAGTTTGTCGAGTAGGAAGAATGGCTGCTGTGACCAGGTGGAACAGCATCTGCATGATGGTTCTGGTTTGAGTGGATTGTCTTAACCAGGACCTGTACTGAGTGTTGTTGGCATGTGTATTCCGTCCTCAGTAGTACCTGTTGCTGACTCTAAGATCATTTTCCTTTTCTGCCTTACCACGTGAGGACATAGGAACTAATCCATGATGGGTAGTGTTATCTAGCATTGAGTCAGCAGGGGCAAATTTTGAGCAGGATTTGGCTCTGAGACCACATGGTGGGCTGTTGGTGATTAATGCAGGTCATGCCTTTGGACAATGATAATACATTTTAACATCATTTACAAATGAGGCTAGAAGAGCTGGCATGGTGAGCACCTGGGAAGCTGGGAAGTACTGTGTGGAGGGAAGTGTCTTTCTCTCACGAAGCCAGCTCTGGAGTATTGTCTGTAATGAGCAGCCTGGGGACACTGGAGGGTGGTTTTATTCATCCCACAAGGCACGGTGACCAAGGGCGGCTGTCCAGTGCTAGCAGCCAGGGGCACTGCCCTCTTGAGTCTTTACTCAGGCTGCACAATATGCCATATCTGCTGTGATGAGCCTGGTGACCTGGGCACTTCTTGAGGGGAACCTTTTGTCATTGACTTGTTTCTTCTGGACAGGTCTCCTTACTCAAAAAGTGACTTATGAAAATGGATTGTTAAAAATTAACTACACTGGGGGTGACATTTGCCATAACGTGTATCAGCGTTCAACAACCATCTTCTTCTACTGTGATCGTGGCACCCAGAAGGTTAGTGTGAACTGTGGCACCCAAGGGTGTCCTTTCCCCAGACGTAGTGCAAGCGTCTAAGGATATCTTCTCCCCGGGGTTAGTGTGGGCACCTAAGGGCATCCTCTCCCTGGGGTTAGTGTGGGTTGTGGCACCCAAGGTTGACCTTTCCTCAGGAGTAGTGCAGGTACCCAAGGGTGTCCTCTCACTGGGGTTAATGTGGGCTGTGGTGCCCAAGGGCAACCTTTCCCTGGGGTTACTGTGGGCTGTGGCCCCCAAGGGCATCCACTCCCTGAGGTTAGTGTGATTTATAGTGGCTCAAGAAGACAAAGTAAAATATTAACGAAATGTGCAAAGACCTAGAGTTAGAAAACCAAGAGGGAAGAACATGCTTCTCATTTTTCAGTCTGAACCGAGGAAAAATTTCAAGCCTTGGGTTGCAATATTGAAGGATTCTGTGCGCAAAATATTAAATGATGTAGGAAGCATCAAAAGAATATGGAAGGAATACATAGAGTCACTGTACCAAAAGAAATGGTCGACATTCAGCCACTTCACGAGATAGCATGTGATCAAGAACCAATAGTATTGAAGGAAGGAATCCAAGCTGCACTGAAGGAATTGGCAAAAAACAAGGTTCCAGGAATTGACAGGACACCCACTGAGATGTTTAAACAGACGAAGGTGCTTACTTGTCTTTGTCAGGAAATTTGGAAGATAGCTACCTGGCCAACTGACTGGAAGAGATTGATACTTGTGCCTGTTCCAAAGAAAGGTGAGCCCACAGGATGTGGAAATTATTGAATAATATCATTAATACCACACATGAGTAAAATTTTGCTGAAGATAATTCAGAAATGGTTGCAGCAGTATATTGACAGGGAACTTCCAGAAATTGAAGCAGGATTCAGAAGAGGATGTGGAATAAAAAGCATATAATTGCTGATGTCAGATGGATCTTGGCTGAAAGCAAAGAACACTGGAAAGATGTTTTCCTGTGTTTCATTGACTATTCAAAGTCATTCGACTGTGTGCATGATACAGAATTATGGATAGCATTGCAAAGAATGGTAATTCCAGGACACTTAATTGTTCACACGAGGGACACGTACATAGACCAAGAGTCCATCATTTGAACAGAACAAATGGATACAGCATGGTTTAACATCAGGAAGGGTATATGACAGGGTAGTATCTTTTCACCAGACTTGTTTAATCTGTAGGCTGAGCAAATAATCCGAGAAGCTGGACTGTACGAAGAACCTTGTATCAGGATTGGAGGAAGACTCGTTTACAGCCTGTGATATGCAGATGGCACAAACTTCTTTGCTGAGAGTGAAAATGACATGAAGCACTTACTGAAGAAGATCAAAGACTACAGTCTGCATTATGGATTACACTTCAATGTAAAGCAAACAAAAATCCTCACAACTGGACCAATAAGTAGTTATCTTGATACATGAAGAAAAGATGGAAGTTTGTCAGGGATTTCATGTTACTTGGATCCATAATCAACACCCATGGAAGCAGCAGTCAAGAAATCATGTTGTATCACACTAGGCAGATCTGCTGCAAAAGCCCTCTTTAAAGTGCTGAAGAGCAGAAACATCACGTTGAAGATTAAGGTGCACCTAGCCTAAGCCATGGTATTTTCCTTTCTTATTATTTAAAAAAAATTTATTATGATTTGAAAGTTTACAGAGCAAATTCATTTTCCATACAGCAGTTTAAAAACATTTTGTCTCATGACATGAAATGCAATTCCCCACAATGTAACAGCTCTCTTCCCACTTCCTCCCCGTAGTTACCTCTTCCCTTTGTCCTTCCCTCCCATGTACTCCCGTGTCCCGCCCCCCGCAGCCGTCTCCCTGTGTAAACACTGCCCCTTCTCTTCTCCAGTAATTGATTGCTCCAAGTAGTGTATCCACCTGATGTAAATGTTCAGCACATATGCCTGTCTGCTGTTTAGCTGGAAGCCACAGAAGTGAGTTCAGTTGCATACCTGAAGGGTGGCTAGAGGCCATAGTCTCAGGGGTGTCACCAGGCTCTATCAGACCGGCAAACCTGGTCTTTTTTTTTTTTTTTTTAAATGATTTTTGAGTCTTGTTCCATATTGTTCTCCCACTCTACCCAGAATCTCCTGCACCGATACCCCTCCAAGTGGTTGCAGTGGTAGTCAGGCCCCATCTAGTTCTTCTGGTCTCATAGTCACGTAGGCTGAGGATGTCATGGTCTACCAGTCCCTTGGACTAATTGTTTCTATGCCTCTTTGGTTTTCTTCATTGTTCTTTGCTCTGGATGAGGAGAGACCCAGTGTTGCTTCTAGATGGCTACTTGCAAGCTTTTAAGATGCCTGTCACTAGAACAATGTAGAACAATGTTTTTGTGTAGCCTGTTAGGCCAATTGACCTTGATGTCCCCTGTGACCATGCTCCTGAGCTCAGAGGTCCAACTACTTGCTCCGTCCGGGTAGCTAGCTGTGCTAAAGAGCCACCACAACCTTGCCCCTTGTCAACTTTACTATATACCTAGACATTCTTATAGCACATACAAATAGGCATGTAGAAACATTGTTAACCGTGTACATGGTTATGGGCATACTACCCCCTGCCTAGACATACCTGATTGTTCAGCTGGTCCACACATCTCTCCACTTGTAGACCAATGCTTGCTCTCACTGACAGTGCAGTACTGCACATGCAAAAGGGTTCATCTTTGTTGTATATACCTCCCATGTACCTCTCTATGTCTTCCTCTTCCTCAATGCCAAGCCATGGTATCATCAATTGCCTCATATGCCTGTGAAAGCTGGACAATGCATAAGGAAGACTGAAAAAGAGTTGATGTTTTTGAATTATGGTGCTGGTGAAGAATACTGAAAATACCATGAACTGCCAGAAGAATGAATAAATTTATTCGGGAAGACGTGCAGCTGGAATATTCCTTAGAAGTTGAGAATGGCCAGACTTATCTCACCTGCTTTGGTCATGTGGTCAGAAGAGAGCAGTCCCTAGAGAAGGTTATCATGCTTGGTAAAGTGGGGGATCAAAGAAAAAGGGGAGAACTCTCAATGAGATGGACTGACACGTGGCTGCAGTGATGGGCTCAGGCACAGCAGAGACTGTGAGGATGGCACAGAGCAGGGCACTGTTGGTTCTGTTGGACACGGGGTCACTGTGAGTCAGAGCTGACTCGATGGCACCTGACAGCAACAACACGGCACCCAGTGGCATCTTCTCCCCGGGCTTAGTTTGGGCTGTGGTGCCCAAGGGCATCTTCTCCCCGGGGTTAGTGTGGGCTGTGGTGCCCAAGGGCATCTTCTCCCCGGGCTTAGTGTGGACTATGACACCCGAGGTTGTCTTCTCCTTGGGTTTAGTACGTGTATCTGTGTACCCAGGAGCATCTTCTCCCTGGGGTTAGAGTGGACTCTGACACCCAAGCTTGTTTTCTCCTTGGTTTAGTAGATGCATCAGTGCACCCAAGAGCATCTTCTCCTTTGGGTGGGGGCTGCTCTCTTGCTGGTGGATCTTTATGAGATGGATCACTTTTTGATCTTATAAAAGCTCCTCATTAGCCTAGTTTAAAATACAGGATTTGTGGAAAATACATTGAAACATTCATTGATTTATATAGATTTTAATAATCTCTTGTTGTCGTCATCCTTAAAGCATAAACTGACATTTTGTGTTTTGTGTTTTTATTTTATTGTGGAAGATGATATTACATACTATAAGATATATGGCATTTCTACCATTTTTGAGTGTCTGACTCTGGCATTAATTGTACCCACCGTGCTGTGCACCTTCAGCACAGTCCATTTCCTGACTTTTTCCTCACCCTAAACAGAAATGTGGTACCCCATCCGTCATTCCCATCCCTTCTTCCCCTAGTCTCTCATCATCGTGAATAATAATAAATTTGCTTGTACTAGATATTTCATGTAAGTGCAGTCATATGCTATTTGTTCTTTTGTGTCTGACCGACTTCATTCAGGATCATGTTTTCGAGGTTCATCCATGTTGTAGCATGTATCAGGACTTCATTTCTCTATGCCTAAGTATTCTGTTGTATGTGCTTACTGCATTTTGGTAATGAGTTCATTGTTAATGGACACTTGGGTCGTTTCACCTGTTGGCAGTGGTGAACTGTGTCCTCTTACCTGTTTGTGTTCCTCCTTTCAAGTCTCCTGGGTGTTTACTCTGGAATCCACTTGCCCCATCTGTGTCTGTTGACTCTTCCAGCCAGTGTTCCTGAGGGAGACGTCAGATTGCTCATACCTGTTTGAGTGGCGCACACAGCACGCCTGCCCACCCTTTGAAATGACCGAGTGTTCATTCAAGTAAGTTCATTTGCATGTTGACTCTGGACAGTCAGGTTGACGTCATGTGATTCTGCTTTAATAGCTAGTAGTCCGGGAGGCATGGGTTAGATTTGTCAGTTAATTTCTCTTGACCTCAGTTCCTTAAAAGTTGAATGAGGAGTTGGATTCGGTTAGCTCCCCAGTCCGTGTGTGTGTGTGTGTGTGTGTGTGTAGGGTTGAAGCTGAACCAGGTATGTGTGTGTGTGTGTGTGTGTGTGTGGTTGAAGCTGAACCAGGAAACATAAACTTTGCATGATTCAAAGTCTGAGTGGTGCAGATGGGCCAGGGGTCACCTGTCCTCTATCCCTCCCTCAGATATGTGTCTCTGGGGATACGAAGATGGAGAAGGCCTTCTTTGAGTTGTTGCCACATGGCGACAGTGGGGCAGTGGGAGGTGGCGGAGGGTGTCCAGAGCTGGGAGGACGAGGGCATGCTGACTGCCAGCTTTCTTAGTTCTTTTGTTTTGAACTTAACTTTGTGACCTGTGACTCAGATGCCTCATGACATTGGGCTGCATTGCAACACCGTGTAAAGTTGAGGTCTTTGTTTCCTGTTCATTTTAGCCGTTGCTGTTTAGATTAAGTCAGACCCACCCAGGCACTTTACAAACTAGACATCCTTGGGTCCTGGCCCTCGAGGGCTTGGTTCCGTAGGAGCTCTGCTTCTCGCTGCCTGAACGTGGAGAATGCTTATCTGTCAGACTTCTGTGTGTGTGTGGGGGTGTTGGTGGTAAGGTTTGCGGTTTCCTGAACTCAGAGTCATCTTGCTGATTCTGACTGGATGTGGGAAAGAGCTGCTGTCAAGTTCTGTCATCATGTAAGATCGGAGTCAGAGAACGTCAGGGAGGGGCGTGCCTCACGTATGGGAACGATAGTAGCCGGAGTGACACGTGCCTAAGTGGATGCTGACTGAACCTAATCGTGGCTTTCTCTCCACATCAGAGATGGTGCCGGCAACTCCTTTGACCTCTCCTCCCTGTCAAAGTACAGTGACAACTGGGAAGCAGTGACGAGTACGGGGGCCACAGAGCACTACCTCATCAATGTCTGCAAGTCCCTGGCCCCACAGCCTGGCACTGGTGAGAGACACCTCTGCTTTGTAGCGCCTGTGCTGACTTTACCGGGAAAGATGGACTGGAAATGGGATCCATTCCCTGAGGCACCCTGCTCTCTGCCAAATGCCAGCAGTTTGGCCAAGAAGCAGGGGAAGGGTTATTTAAAGGGTCCTGATGACTGGCCCCTGATGTGTGGTCCAGGACAAATGATCACTGACGGCTCTGCTGGGAAGGCCAGACTCAGTGATTTCGAGTATGAGTGAGTGGAGTAGGTGGAAGTGGTATTGGTGGTAAGTGGCCGCCTTAGCAGGGTTGGCGTGTGAGTGGATGGAGTAGGTGAAGTGGTGGTGGTGGTGAGTGAGTCTTAGCAGGGTACGAGATAGGAAGCTGTAGCGTAGGTCTCGGGGTGTACTTCCCACACTTACTGATAAGAGTGTGAGGGGTGGTCCTTTTCTAATGCAGGATTGGTGCTGGAATACTCAGTGCCAGCAGTGAGACTAGCGTTCAGGTGTGTGCACGTGGCAGCCGTGACCCAGTGGCCACAGGTGCTGCCCAGGGCTTCTATGGCATCCTCAAGAGTGAGCTTGTCCCCTTTTCTCGGAGTTGAAGATGGCTGCACCCACAGCATTTGTGCCTCCACTGCAGAGGGTGGTTTTGCATTTCCTGTTCTGGGGGGCTGGGGCCGTGGGCCCAGTTTGCCACGCTGCAGTGCACCAGAAGAAGAATGGGGCCATGGCTCGTCGTCTGTGGAGTGGGGCTGGTCCTTCACCCAGCATCTCACAGATGTTTCTAGAATTGAGTTATTCATTGTTTGGCAGAGTTCTTGGAAATATCTTGAATAAGGACATTGGCTCCATCTAGATATTTTGGCTCCATCTTAGGTGGTGTTCACAAATACCTTAAACCGCCTGTGCATTGGGTTCTCACCCCCAGGCCTACCCGCTCTGTGGTGAGGCAGCATTGACATGAGTGAGAACTCATGTTGGGACCACTGTGATCTGACTTGTGCAACGACGCAGCAGATACTTTGTAGTGGCTTGCAGTTCCTGGTGTGTCTGCCCTTCCTTGCTCGCTGGATACATTCTTGATGGAAAACCACTGGAGTGAACGTAATCATACCACTTGTGTTGTAGAGCCATGCCCCCTGGAAGCAGCTGTCTGTCTGCAGAATGGCTCCAAGGCTGTGAACCTCGGCCGGGTGAGGGACGGCCCTCAATGGAGAGATGACTCAATTGTCCTGAAGTACGTGGATGGGGACTTGTGTCCAGACCAGATTCGGAAAAGGTCAACTACCATCCGGTTAACCTGCAGCAAAAGCCAGGTGGTGAGTGACAGCCCTCCTTGTGACATACTCCCCCAGTGACATATCCCTCCTAGTGACATTCCCCTACTGACAGAGCCTTCCAAGTGATACATGCCTCCTAGTGACAGAGCCCTCCTCATGACGTATCCCCTCAGTGACGTACCCCCCAGTGGCATAACCCCCTACTGACAGAGCCTTCCTAGTGATATATCCCCCCAGTGACAGGCCTCCTCATGACGTATCCCCTCAGTGATGTACCCCCCAGTGCCATAACCCCCTACTGACAGAGCCTTTCTAGTGATATATCCCCCCAGTGACAGAGCCCTTCTCATGACAGACCCCCCAGTAACATACCCCCCCACTGACAGAGCCCTCCTCATGACGGAGCCCTCCTGGCCACAGCCTTGGCAACAGCCCAGATCTGAGGGTCTGTGAGTCCAGTGTCCCTGTTTGCCAGAGGGTGTGAGCTCAAATGTTGTCAGCAACTTAGCTCAGCAGTGAGTGAGGCGAGCCTTGTTCTCAGTCCGTGGAAGCAGTTTCTTCCCCATCGCCTCAGATGCCCGACCGGGCAACTCTGACTTTCATATCAGCTGCTTCTCTCTCACATTTGAGTGCAAGGCTGTACAGCAGACTGAGGTTGACCACATGCCCTTTGTGTCTATGGGGGAAGCTGGCAAAGAGTGGAAGGTTGGACAGACCTGCTTTGGATGGTATGCTCTCAGGCCCAGCTGTGTGGCTAATCACTCAGTTACTGTAATAGCTTAGTCATCCTCACACCAGCTGTATTGGACTTACCAAATTGTTGCATGGTTGAGAGAGTGAGTCTGCACTCCTTCCTGGCCTGTTGTAGGTGCTGTGGTTGGAGACCATCTTTATGACTGACTTTGTCCCCTGGTTGGTTGGTATGCAGCACTTAAAGCAGGCTTCAGCTGAATTCATGGTTTCTCTTGGATGGTTTTCACCACAGCAAGGCTGTCTGTGAAATCCCGGAGAAGACCAGTGTCTGATTACGTGTGGTCCGAGTCACAGCTAAGTTTAGGGAAAAAGGCCAGTCTGGACTACCCACTAACTATGAGGGTGGGTGACCTGGCTCTCAACGTCTGTGGCCAGCAGGTGGGGTAGGAGGAGCCCAGGGCACAGGACGCTCAGGGCTGCCCTCCTGACAGGAGGCACTGAAGTTTTCTCTGAGGGAAGAATGTACAGAGTTTAAACTAGACCACTGGGCTTCTGGGGCCTGGAACCAGGCCTGGTGGACTTTCTCAGCTCAGTATGTGACAGAGAGGCTTATGGGGAGGGAGGAACAGAGGGGCTTGTGCTGGGTTCTGTGTGAGCCCGAGTCCCTAGGAGGGGAACCAGCAGGGCTTGTCATAGCTGGCAGCCAAGCCAAATATCGGGTTCATCCGTAAGGAGGTAGGAGAGCGGTGTTAACGTTCTGTGCGGATGGTAATCGACTGAGAACCCAGAGCAAGCCTGAGCCCACGCAGGTGGATGGGTTACTGACATTAACTGCTGGTTCTGTTGGCGGCCCCATTTGCTTTGTCCATAGCAGATTTCCGTTCGCTTGTTTTCCAGAATTTAATAAGGTGTTCATTCAGTGCTCATGATACCCCTTTGACAGCCTTTGCCCTCCTGACCCCCACACACACCCGTGTTGTGTGCTTTAGTCTTGGGAAACCCTTCCTGGCCTCCCCAGTAGGCTTTCAGCCTCTGGGTTAGTTGAAGCCCCTGTTTCAAGTCCCCAGTGGTATCTCAAGAACACTTGTGACCCTTTGGTTTCCTAAACTTGCCCCTCACCCCGTAAAGACAGGGAAGTGGAAAGGCCCTGTGCTCAGAGCTTTGCGGAGAGGCTCAACCTTGGCTTGAGGTCAGTTGGAGTTTCTGTGTACAGCAGCCCTCACGTGGGAACTCTTTGTCTTGGCTGTAGAATTCCAGGCCCATGTTCATCAGCGCCGTGGAGGACTGCGAGTACACCTTCTCCTGGCCCACGCCTGCCGCTTGTCCTGTGAGGAGCAACGTGCATGACAACTGCCAAGTTACCAACCCTGCCACAGGTGAGGCCTTGTGTGGTCGCCAGCCCCGCCATGGTGAGGCCCGCGTGGTTGCCAGTCCTGCCGCGGTCAGGCCTCTCACAGTCGCCACCCCTGCTGAGAGCAAGGCCTTACATGGCCTCTCACAGTCGCCACCCCTGCCGTGGTGAGGCCTTGAGCAAGCGTGGTTGGCTGGCCCCCTAGGAACGGCTCATCATTGTACACGTTTGGCCTTTCTCTTGGATCTGCTGATCATGTCTGCTTACGCCTCTCCTCTGTGGAAGCGTGTATGCTGTCTCCCTGAGGCCATTCTCTCTGTGACCCTGGCCAGGGCTTGCCTCACAGGCCCACAGCCACACAAGCTCCAGGGTCCCATACCCAGTTCTTCTCAGAGTTGACAGGATGCAGACAGGCAGCTGTGTTGTTTGTACCAGAGACACAGGGCATGCAGGAGGAGGGCTGTCGGCAGAGGTAGTGGGACGCTGTTGGGGTCTCCCAGTCCATCGGAGTCCTAAGGGCTGTTGTGTCAAGGAAGATGCTGTGAGCCTCTCTCCTGGGGACAAGTGGGGATCGGTTACTCATACCTTTGGGGACCGAAGGCCCATGGTGTGGACTGGCCCCTCAGGAGCATCTCCCTGGGCTGCATCAGTGAAAGGGTAGCATGCACGGCTTGCACTAGTAACTGTAAGGTTGCCGGTTTAAGCCCACTGAACAGTGCCGCAGAGAGAAGGCCTGGCAATGTGGTTTTGTGAAAATTATAGCCAGGAAAACCCTACAGAGCACAGTTCTGCCCTGTAACACATGGGGTCTCCATGGGGCGCAATTGACTCAGTAGTGATGGGTTAAAGGGCAGTGACTTGTGGCACCAAGGCAGAAGTCCTGACGGTAAGATGCAGTCCGTGTGTGAGCACAGGGGTGACAGGTGTCTTGGTCTCGTGTCTCGTACAGTCACTGTGTCCCCTTCCCTGTTCCTCACAGGGCACCTGTTTGATCTGACCTCTTTGAGTGGCAGAACTGGTTACACTGCTGCCTATAGTGAGAAGGGCCTCGTCTACATCAGCGTCTGTGGGGAGAATGAAAACTGCTCTCCTGGCGTGGGTGAGTGCCGGGGCTTCTGGCCGCTGGAGGTGGCTTTAGCCTTTCTCATTTCTGTGGTAAAATCGGTGCACTGAACGTGGAGTTATAAAAGCTTCCTGGTCCCGCCTGACTCAGCTCGAGTGGCCAAGAGTGGCTGAGAGAGAAAAGAGTAGACACACAGCGTTAGCACATCCGGGCTGCCGTAAGCAACAGCACATTTGGCTGTGAATTTGGAAGTCTGGTCTTGCAGAACGTGCTCACCAGGGAATCAGCAGCGTTCCAGTCTGTGCTGCAGACGTGTTGGGGCTGTCCTGTGTGTTCCTGATCGACCCCACCCGTCCCGTGTTCCAGGTGCCTGCTTCGGCCAGACCAGAATCAGTGTGGGCAAGGCCAACAAGAGGCTCACCTACGTGGATCAGGTGCTGCAGCTGGTCTATGAGGACGGCTCCCCTTGTCCTTCGAAGCTGGGCCTGAGTTACAAGAGCGTCATCAGCTTCGTGTGCCGGCCGGAGACGGGCCCGACCAACCAGCCCATGCTCATCTCTCTGGACAAGCAGACCTGCACCCTCTTCTTCTCCTGGCACACGCCACTGGCCTGCGAGCAAGTGGTAAGTTGGTGGCGGGCGCAGGCCGAGCTGAGGGGCCTGGCCAGCTGTGAGCCCTGCGCTGAGAAAGGCGGGCCGGCCCTGGTTCCCAGCCTTGTCACTGCCGTGACTCACTGCTTCCTGGAGGATCCCCGGTGTATCCCACCCACTTGCGCCTGCCCCAGTGATCACGGTGGCAGAAGCGTCCGGTGCTGTGTGACCAAACGTTTTAGGACTTCAGCCCACTCTTGATGTTTTTTTTTTTTTTTAAGCTTTTACGCTCTTTACCGGCCAAACTGACCCTGTTGCCACCAAGTCCATCCCAACTCAGGGCCACCACGTGTCAGAACTGTGCTGCTTAGGGTTTTCAGTGGCTTAGTTTTCAGAAGTCAGTCCCCAGGCCTTTCTTCGGAGATGCCTCTGGGGAGACGTGAACCTCCAGCTTTCTGTTAGCAGCTGAATGTGTAAACTCCTTAGCTTCTTACGAGTGACTTAGTGGAATTTTACAGGGACTCAAACGCGGTCTTTTCCAGATGGAGTGTTCGGTCAAGAACGGCAGCTCCATCATCGACTTGTCCCCACTGATCCACCGCACGGGCGGCTATGAAGCGTTTGACGAGAGCGAGGATGACGGCTCTGACACCAACCCCGACTTCTACATCAACATCTGCCAGCCGCTGAACCCGATCCACGGGGTGGCGTGTCCTGCCGGGGCAGCTGTGTGCAAAGTCCCTGTCGACGGGTCCCCCATTGTAAGTGGGGGACGTCCAAGGGCAGAAGCAGGTTTTGTGAGATTGCGTGAGGACTTGGTGTTGAGTTTCTTGCTTTCAGGCTGAGAGGGTGGAGAGAGAAGCTGGGATGTCGTGTGTCAGGGAGCCTGGCTGTCAGGACTTGAGAGTTGAGCTGTCAGCCTGTAACGGTACCAGGAAGCCTGTGAGTCAGGGAAGGAGATGTGAACACGTGTGTAGATCCACACCTTTGGTCATGTTGGGAAGGCTGGGTCCAACTCAGATCAAGAGAGACATTGTGGTGAGAAAGGCCAGTGGCAGATCTGGGGTCCTTGTTATGCCTGCCTGTGTAGTTAGAGCTTTTTTTTTGTGCTGAGTTAAGATGAAGGGTAAGCTCAGGTTTGCTTATAGAAAGCAAAAAATTCTGAAGGGAAGGTTTGGGTTAGATACTAGCATATTAATATAGATTTGGATTTTTGAAAATCGACTTCACAGTTCCTACTGTGTGTTATTTAGGGTTAGGGTTAGGGTTAGGGTTAGGGAGCTCTGGTAGCATAGTGGCTAAGACACTTGCTTGCTAACCAGACGGCTGGCGGTTCAAACCCACCAGCCACTCCTCGGAAGGAAGGTTGGGCAATCCTACTTCCGTAGTGATACTGCCTCGGAAACCCAAGGAGGGGTCGCTATGAGTCGGGGCCGACTCGACGGCACATAACAACAACAACAACAACAACAACTGTGTGTTATTACTTGAAAGGTGTCTCAAGAGTCATCTGTCCTATTTCTTTCTATATCCTTTAAGTAGTGAAGCCTCCTGTAAAGTGGTTCGATGTCCTTTTAAAAGGTGGACATTGTGTCATTGGCGAGGAGAACCATGGGGAGTGGGTGGGGAGCTTGGCTATAATGTGGTAGTTAAGCTTGTGTGTCAGCTTGGCTGGGCCATGGTTTTGAGTGGCTGGGCAGCTGGATGTGGTTATTCCCCCCGTGATGAGACTGTAATCACCTCCATGGTGGAATCTGCGGTGAGCAGCTAAGTAGTTGCCTTCAGGGCGTGGCCTGCTTTCAGTACATATGGGGAAGCTTTGAGAAAGGTCTCTAGTTTTTGACACATGTGGACACTTCCCGTGGCTGAGTCTGACCTGCCACGTTGCCTGCTGATCTTGAACTTGAACCAGTGGTTTGCAGTGTTGTCTGCTGATCTGGGTGGGGATTGTGCCGTTTTACCTGTCTATCTTGTGTTTGTCAGTCTCAGCAGCCAGCAGCTGCGTGAGTGAGGAAGAGCCTCTAGCTCCAGTGAGAGGGCCTGGAGTAGGAGGCAGAGCTGAAGCCCAAGGTCCAGGGGCCTTCACCCAGCTGCTAGAGCCAGCACCCTGAAGGACTTCTAGCTGCCTAACCTATAGAAGAACAAGTTCCTGTTTGTTCAAGCCATCCACCTGTAGTATCTCTATTATAGCAGCACGAGAAACCGAGAGACTAATTAGGAATCTAGCAAAGCTGTAGCTACGTGGGAAGTGTGGGCCTGAGTTGAGGGACCCTGAATGGGAGGTGCTTGGGTAACGTCTATCCAGCAGCAAGACTGGGACCCTGGATGGCAAAGCATTGCTCAGAGGGGTGACGGCTGTGTATCCTGCTTGACTGCTGTGTGTCAGGGTCTTACGCTTAGTTCCTTAATTGGAGATGAGGTTGTGTTTTGATGAACATTCAGTATGTGCCCTACAGTGATGTGGGAAAGGCCTCATAGTTAACAAACAAAATCATGGGAGATGCACGTGTGTGTCTCATTCCTAACTACTCACCAGCTGAGCACACACACATGTAATACCCCCCACATATACAGTCTCATATATAACACACACATATACAGCACATACATGTACACACAGTTATGTGTGTATACATGCATATTCAGTCACACATAAACATATATGTGCATGTGTTCACACATAGACACACACATACACACATACATACATGTGCACACATGCCCCCATTCCTGACTGTTCACTTACTGCTTTTCTTTGTTTATTGCTTTTATTCATTTGTTTGTTTAGTCACTCAGCAGTATTTACTGAACAGCCACTGTCTGTGAGATGCTGTACTAAACAATGCAAACACACCATGAGCCTTTCCCACTGACCGTACTGGGTCACTGCTGCTGCAGTCTGGGGAGGAGGAGACAGGCCACATGGGGAGTGTTCTGGTCTGGATGTAGCTTCCTCCCATCAGAGTCAGGGCACAGAGCCTTGGAGGGAGACAATCTCGGGAAACTGTGTGTAGGTAGAAATGGAAGCATGGTCCTCACCCTTAGGATCAAAGCTCAGACTTACAGGCCCCTGGTGTCTCTGTGTCACTTCTCCCGATCAGACTCACAGGTGATTGACTTGAACCCAGTTCCTTGGTTGCCCTCTCGGGTGCAGAGATGATGGGGTTTAATATCTGCAGAGCTGTGTCGGTCTTGTTCTGCAAACCTTGGGCATCATTAGAACCTGAAACCCTGGTGCTTTTTGTTCTTTGTTTAGGACATTGGCCGAATCACAGGCCCTCCAATACTCAACCCCACAGCAAATGAAGTTTACATGAATTTTGAAAGTACCACACCTTGTGCCGAGGACAAGCACTTCAACTACACCTCCCTCATTGCTTTTCACTGTAAGAGAGGCGTGAGCATGGTAAGTGTGCCCCTGTCCAGAGTCTGCAGGCTGGAGTGCAAGTACTGGGCCGTAGCTGGGTACCCATGACCCACAGTCTGGGTTTAGGGATGCCCTTCGTCACGGTGTGGGCCTGGGATAGCATAGTGGCAGGCACATCACTGGTGCATCCGAACAGTCCCAAAGCATTGTGGGAACGAGTGCACACATACTGAGAGAGCAGGCAGGCTTTGTGCAGAGAGGCTTGCGAGACTTTAACAAGATGGAACTCTCGAGTGTGTGTGTGTATCTGTGTGTATGCACACATGGCTATATGCATGCACACGTGCACATGTATGTGCGTGTGTATGCATGTGTACATACATTTGCACAGACGTGTATGTGTACGTGCAGATGTATGTGTGTGTGCATAGGTATATGTGTATGTATGCCTATGTGTACGCATGTGTACATATGCATGTATGTGTATATGTGCATGTGTGTATGTATTTGTGTGTGTGTGTGTGTATGTTTGTAACATAAATAAACTTGCGTCCTAAAAATCCTAGTGATTTCAGAGGCCCCTTGGACCCCTGGAATTCAGATACTAGCTCTGGTTCCCTGTGGTGGTGTGTCATTGCAGTGAACATGTTCTGATCTCATGACCTGTCGCAGGTTTGTGAAGGGTGGGGGATGATACTACCAGCTGTGAGGGTGTTGACAGTGACAGTGAGCGACGTGGCCTCAGCCTAACAAACAGGGCAGTGCAGACATGGAGCAAGGCGACACCAAGACAAGCCCTTGCTGTCTGGGTAGGCTGCTGCCCGTAGAGGCCACGGTCCCTCCAAGACCTCACATCACGGTCCTGAAGGCTAGCGTGTCACGAGATGTCTGCGTTACCAAGGAGGTTAGCGTGTGTATTCAGTCAGTTCTTCCTTACTGTGTGTGTAATTGCATGTTTCTGTGCGTCGTCGGTTTGCATCTGTAACACACGGTCTGGGGCAGATGGAGACTAACCCTTAGGCGTCCACTGTCAGAGTTAGAGGGGCCTTTCTTTCTTCTGAAGGCCCCGCTCTTACTGAGGAGTGCTTGAGTACCTCACGCTGCCAGAGCAGTTCCGGGTGGCTGTGCTTGGCTCCTGGGCGCGGCCGCTTGGCAGAGACCGTACTGCACCCCAGCCGGTCCTTAGAGCTGCTGCGCCTGGGGCGTGACCAGTGTTGAGCCGCTGCAACCGGAGTGTGATTGGTGTCGGAGAGCTGCTGCAACGGAGCGTGACCGGTGCTGAGCTGCTTTTGGAAATGTGCGGCCCCACTCTGAACGTGTGTTCAGTTCTGGAAAGATTTTTAAAGGGTTTTCCTCCCCTGTGGTTTTCACCCTTAGTGCAAATACAGAGTTTACGGAAGAAAGGGATGTGGCAGCAATTGAAAGTGCCACTGCCGACAGCTGCCACAGCGGTCCCTGCTGTTGGTGACTGAGGAAGGACGAGTGCCTGCTCTCAGAAATATTCAGGCCGTCTATTGGATGTCTGCCATGCTGCAGCCTTGGGGCAGGGCTCCCTAGTTCTGAGAGCCTCGCAGTGGGGCCTTGGCTGTCCTTGTCCTCATTTCCACCCAGAGGTGCCTCGGAAGACAGGCCTGGCGTTCTGCTTCTGAAAGCCCACCCCCCGGGAATCCCATGTGCACAGTTCTACTCGGACACACACGGGGTCACTGTGAGGTGGCGAAGACTTGGTGTCAACTGGTTTTACTGATTTTCTTCTTTGCACTTGTAGCAGGGACACTGAGTGGCTCTCTCTTTCTCTTTCTGTTTTTGTCTTCTTTAGTAAAGGTGATGCGGTGATCTGGGGACACTGAGGGGTTCCTGGCTGTGTGTGGGTGGGGGTGGTGCTGGTTCCTTGCAGCTGCTCCTGGTGCCCCCTGCCCACCCCAAGGCCAGTGTGGGGTGTACACAGAGCACGCATTGGTCAGGGCATTTTTCCTGGGCGCCGTGTGTGCTGGGAGCGGGAGCCTGTGGCCCCGGTGGCACTTAGGTAGGAGTGGGGTGCCCCTGCGAGGAGGCCGCCCTTGTCCTCACTCCCGTGGGGTCATAGTGACAGCTTGGATTGCTCAGCGTGAGCACAGAAGGCCTGGCGCACTGCCGAGCGTGGGCTTGGACAGTCTCTGTTCTTCACCAGGGAACGCCCAAGCTGCTGAGGACCAGCGACTGTGACTTCGTGTTTGAGTGGGAGACCCCGCTCATGTGTCCGGACAACGTGCAGACAGAGGGCTGCTCGCTGACCGACGAACAGCTCTACTACAGCTTCAACCTGTCCAGCCTGTCCACCAGCACCTTCAAGGTACTGGGACCCGCCCAGAGCACTGCCATCTTGTGTGGGCATTATCGTCCCGGGAACAGGCGGTGCCCTGCGGTCAGCGTGTGGGTCTCGGGAACAGGTAGCACCCCGTAGTGAGCTTGTGGGTCCCGGGAACGGGCAGTGCCCTGCGGTAAGCATGTGGGTCTCGGGAAGAGGTGGCACCCCGTGGTGAGCGTGTGGGTCCCGGAAACAGGCGGTGCCCTGCGGTGAGCATGTGGGTCGTGGCCCCGGGAACGGGCAGTGCCCTGCGGTGAGTGTGTGGGTCCCAGGAACAAGCGGTGCCCTGTGGCAAGTATGTGGGTCGTGGCCCGGGAATGGGCGGTGCCCTGCGGTGAGCATGTGGGCCTTTTGTGATCCTCATTATCACCCTAGCGTGGGCTGCCCTTAGAGACAGCGTCTGGGGGTGCTGGCCTCCGCACTGGTGTTGGGTTCACAGACCAGCATGTCAGGGTCCTGGACTGTCTGGGTAGCTGACCACAGGCAGCACTCACACTGACCCTCACAGCTTCAGGTGTCTCTGCGTACAGGCTTTAACGAGCTTGGAATGACTGCTCAGGTGGGCAGTGAGTCCTTTTGTGTTGTGAATGGAGAATAAGCGAGGAGGCTCGGGGACACACACGGGACCCACATCTAGTGAGGGGCCATGGCCTGGTGCTTCCTCCTCCCATGACAGTTCCCCGTGCAGCCTGGGCTGGCGGCATATGAGCCATGGCAGCTCTGTGTGGAGGCTGGTCATGCACGTGTGGAATTGTGTGCAGCGTCTGCCCTAGTATCTGTCTTGATCGTATCTTCTCTCTGGGCTCGTCTTGTGTGTGGCGTCACACAGCGGTTCCTGTTTGTCCTGCACCATACGTGTGGAACACACATGTATGTCTCTGTGTAGGTGCCTCATAGGTTGTCTCTCCCAGCGCTGCCTGTGGCCAGCATGGTATGGGGACTAGAGGCCAAGGGATCCCTTTTTCTCTAGCCTCACTTTTAGATAAAGAGGCAGACGTTTGGGCCCAGGGAGGCCATGGATGGAGGAGGTTAGGTGGGCCCTCCCGCTCCCCAGACTGGAGATCTGGGTGCGTCTGGCCGTACAGTGGCCTGGCATGTCTGTGGACTATTTACTGTGCCCAGGAATCGGCTTGGGTCGCCTGTGGTTGGGGAACTCAGGCCTTCAGGCCCAGTGATTGGACTTGGCTTAGTCAAACCCCCGAAGGACTGTGCCATGCATGCCAGCTCCCTGTGGGCAGTAGTGAGGGTGGGCTTTGTGCTCTGCTGCCAGCTCTCCAGTGCCTATAAGAGAGGTCCCTCCTGAAAGTGGGCACAGCAGGTCTGGGCCTGGCAGGAGACCACATGGGTGCAGGAGGTGCTCTCGGCATCTGACTCTGCTCATTAACTCGGTCCCCACGGCACCCCTGGTGCAGGTAAGGAGCTGAGGCCCCCCGCTACCTCACCACATGCCACGTGCCCAGGCCTTGTGTCCGTGCTGCGCTCTCTGGAGGGGCAGCCAGCAGGGGGGAGGGACACTCGGCAGGGCGTGGGGGAGTTGTGTGCCCTCGCAGCGGCCGTGCTGAGTCACCCAGGTGCCTCATCCTGACCCCCATGCAGAGGAAGGACCTAGACTCGGGGAGCAGGACAGTGACCACAGCTCCCGTGCTCAGCACACAGACACCAGCCTCGGCTGCGTGCACGGTCCCGTATCCTGTTGGGACGGGCCTCTTCCCTGGATTCCCAGGACCCAGCGTGGTGTCTGTCTGTCTGTCTAGGTGACACGAGACTCCCGCACGTACAGTGTGGGTGTGTGCACCGCAGCCGCAGGCCTGGACGAGGGCGGCTGCAAGGACGGGGGCGTCTGCCTGCTCTCCAGCAGCAAGGGAGCCTCGTTTGGGCGGCTGGCCTCCATGAGGCTGGACTACAGGCACCAGGACGAGGCCGTCATCCTGAGCTACGTCAACGGTGACAGCTGCCCTCCAGGCAAGGCTTCTTCATGGGCAGGGTACATTCCTTGTCAGCGTGAAACAGGAAAAGCCAAGGCTGAGATTCCAGCCCTGTGAGGGCTGGCAGCTTGGCGTTGACGTGAAGCACTGAGTCGAGACGCGGTCAGAGCGTGCCTGGCTCGTGCTTTGGAGTGCGCTCAGAGTGCCCCTAACAAGATGACAGCTGAGCCACTGTCAGGTGGTGGTGTGGGCTGGGCTGCCTCCTTGGGGGTCCTGTGAGGTGTTCGTAGGTGACCATGTGGTGCTGCTGTGTGTGTCACTGAGACCTTCTCCTCTCCAGAAACGGAAGATGGGGACCCGTGTGTCTTCCCGTTCATATTCAACGGGAAGAACTACGAGGAGTGTGCCGTGGAGGTGAGGCCGAGGCCCTGGTGTGCCACCACCTCGAACTACGACCGCGACCACCAGTGGGGGTTCTGCAAGCACTGTGAGTAGGAAGGGGTGTGACCTGTGCACTGGGCCAGCCACCCAGAGATGCAGGGCCCTTGTAAATCTCCAAACGAACAGGCGTGCTTCTGTTTCTATAGCATTCGTTCACACACTGACCATCTCACTTTCTTGTCAGGGCTGTTTTCCACCAAAACAGCAAGTTTAATTGACGCATGAGACTTCATGTGGAAGCTGAGAGGGGGCCCACGGTAACGCTGGGTTGAGACACAGATGCTAGTGTCAGCTGGGCCCACTCACTGCTCAGGGGCTATGCCCACATGCCTGTCTGTCGGCACTGGTGACTTGCACGTGTGCCCCTGTAAAATTGTGGCCTTGAGGGTGGCCAGTGAATGTCCTGGAAGACTGTGGGCTTGTCCACTGGCTTTCCGCCGTGTGGCAGGCGCTGGGCAGGGCTGGAGACCTAATGGGAGCCGGGCTTGCTCCTCTGGTGCTTAGAGTCTGGTGTCGTGGAAGAATCAGACTGATGCTGGGGCACCTTGTGGGTTCTGGAGGGCAGCAAGATGAGGCAGACGCACGCACCATTGATTCTTAGAAAGACTCGTGGGACAAGGTGGGATCCACTGGGGACTGTGGCTGTGGGATTTACGAGGGACCTCTCTGCTTGTCTTGAGACTTACTGTGACAGTTCTCCTAGTCCATGGGTTGGCACTCAACATTTCTCACCAACTATGGGTATTTTTATTGTTATTTTTATGTTTTATTCTCATTAGCATTTTAAGTGTCATTGCATACCTGTCTAGAAGGCTCTGTGCGGTTATTAAGAAGTACTGTAAGAGACACTGATCTCTGAAGGAACTGGGTCTATCCAGAGTTAAGATTCATGAATGAGACAGTGTGATATAGCCGTGGCAGCAGATGGGACATAGGTGGGAGATGGGGGGTATGTGGCAGAGAGGGATATACGTGGCAGGCAGCATGCACACAGCAGATAGGACATACGTGGCAGATCGTATGTGGCACATGTGGTGGGAGAGGCTGGGTGAGTCGCGGAGTCCGGGAGGCCAAGTGAAGCTCGGGAGAGAAAGGAGTGTAAAGACAAGCGTTGGAACCTCCGTCCGTGGCTGGTGGGAGTGTAATGGTGCAGCTGTTCTGGCAAACAGTTTGGCATTCTCCAAAAAGTTAAACAGGATTACCATAAAAAAGCCCCAGAGGGTTTCCAAGTCTTTCAGTCTTCATAGAATCAAAGCCCACATCAAACCCACTGCCGTGGAGTTGAGTCCACCTCACAGCGACCCTAGAGGACGGTGGAGTTGCCCCATAGAGTTTCCAAGGCTGGCCGTCTTTACAGAAGCAGTCTGCCTCATGTATTCTTCAGCAGAGCAGCTGGTGGGTTTGAACTGCTCATCTTTTGGTTAGCAGCCAAATGCCTTGCTCTGAGTGCCAGCAGAGCTCCTTGGAGTTACCTTATAGCCCAGGGATTCCACTCCTGGGTCTGTGAAAGCAGACTTGAAAAGGCACGAAGGCAGAGACTCAGACAGACGCGTGTACACCCCCGTTCATTGCAGTACCATGCGCAGTAGTCAGAAGGCGGAAACAACCCGAGTGTCCATCAGCAAACGGGTGGGTACACAGAATGTGACACGTACATGCAGTGGCATACCAGTCAGCCAGAGAGAGCGATGAATGGACCTGAAAACGTGATGCTGAGTGGAATAGGTCAGACACAGAGAGCAGATGCTGTGTGACCTGAACTAGCTCAGACAGGAAGTACACAGAGGAAAAGCCGCTCAGTGGTATTCAGGAGAGTTCTTGGTGATGAGGACTGAGTGTCTCTTTGGGTGGTAAAAATGTTTGTGGAAACGGGGCAGTGGTGGCCTCTCCCAGTGTGTGAGTATGACTAACTGAATTAGACCCTTAACGCTGGCTGAAACAGCGAATGTTCTGTCCTACCTATTTCACTGCAATTAATAAAAAAGAAAACCAAGCCTCGGGCCCCAGGCCGCGCTCTGACTGCCTGTGCTGCTTTCTCCCCAGCCAACAGCCACCGGACGTCGGCCATCATATTCAAGTGTGACGAAGATGCCGACATCGGGTGGCCCCAGGTCTTCAGTGAGGTTCGTGGCTGTGAAGTGACCTTTGAGTGGAAGACGAAGGTGGTCTGCCCTCCGAAGAAGATGGAGTGCAAGTTCATCCAGAAGCACAAGACCTATGACCTCAGGCTGCTCTCCTCTCTCACCGGCTCCTGGTTCTTTGTCCACGGTGGTGCCTCGTGAGTACCTGGGCCCCTGCGCCCGCCATTTTACCCGCTTCCCAGGCAGTAACGTGAGACATGGTGGCGGCAGTTGGTTTGTGGTGTTTTACCTCAGAGTCGGAAGGTGGGGCAGGAGGTTCTGTGGCATCAATTGGGACTGCTCCCGGGAGCCATCCAGAGGCGTCAAGCCTCACGTGCTATAGGCCATGATGGCAGAAGGGTGAGCGTCGCCTCTGGTGAACAGAAGCAGAGCCTGCAGAAGCCACAGTTCAGCTGTTGGCCTGATGGAGTGGAGTCTAGGGTAGTTCTCTGTGAAGGGTCCCTGGCTGGGCGTGGGGGAGATGTGTCACCTTTCATGGGGTCTCTGGCCAGTGTCTCGGGGTCTGCAGTGCCCTGAGGTTGGGTACAGTGATGGTGGCTTGCTGTGTAGAGTGCTCTCTGTAACCAGGCCCTCTAAGCGCGTGGCGGCCTTGCTGGAGCGGGGCAGTGGGAGCATGGGGCGTGTAAGGGATTTGCGTAAGGTGACCCCCTTGCCAGAGTTTCACCTGCCCCAACTCCAGCACCCTTCTTTCTGCTGAACCCCGTACGTTAGGATCACCCCAAGAGTGAACCTTTGTGAAGCCCCTGCTTCAGGTGACGAGAATGCTTAGCTCTCAGAACTATAGTCTATCTGAAGTGTCATGGAAAAGCCTCTGACCAAGAACGTTGGAGACTTGACCCACTCTGCTTCTCCTTGCCCCCTGGTGTCGTTTCTTAGGTACTACATCAACTTGTGTCAGAAGATATACAAGGGCCCCTCTGGCTGCTCGGACAGAGCCAGTATTTGCAGGAAGACGGCCTCTGGGCAGGTGCAGGTGCTGGGGCTGGTGCACACGCAGAAGCTGGACGTTGTGGGTAAGGCTGTGGTGGCGTCAGGGCTGGGTGGCCGGGCTGCGTCTGGGCCAGCATGGGGGTGGGGCTGCATAGCCGTTGAGTGACGGCTCCTTGGGTTGTGCCTGTGCTGTTTCTGTGGGAAAATTGATAGAAGGACCACCTTCTCTTAGCTGAGCCTGCAGGCTCCAGTCTGAGTAGGTAGCAGGGTCCATGATCTTGGGGAGAATCTGTACTTGGGGAGGAAGTTGGCTTGTTCAGAGTGTCTCACGAGTTCTTTTTCTCACTGTGGGTTGCAAAAAGAACGTGGGGGTGGCATCTTCTGACCTCCTCTGACTTCACGAGGAGGAGACAGAGTCCATCAGTAGCCCAAGGCTTATTCCCATGAGGCTAGACATGCCGCCTCTCTGCAGCCTTTTTATCAATGCTGACACCAACTGTCCCTCCCACGACATTCAGCACTTCTCCCCTGGCCTTAATAATTTGTTGCAGTGTGTACATAGAACTCACAGACAGTACTTACGATTATGGGGTTTATTAGGGAAGTTAAAAAAAAAAAAAAAAACCTCATTGCTGTCGAGTCAGTTCAACTCCCAGTGACCCCTCTTTGGGTTTCTGAGGCGGTGTCTCTATGGAAGTAGGTTGCTTAGTTTTCCTTCTGAGGAGTGGCTGGTGGGTTTGAACTGCCAGCCTTCTGGTTAACAGTCCAGTGGAACATGTTCAGGAAATAGTTCTTCAGTCAGGACAGTCTTCCCTCTGCTGTGCCCTCATTCATGCATGTGTGGCCCTTGGCCTCTCAGACTGGCCTCGGCCCTGCCCAGGGAAGTGCTATAAAGCTCTTTTAGCTCTGCCAACAGGGACATTAGGTATACCCCACTCCACCAGCAAGCCTCCTGCCCAAAGGCACTCTGCTTTCTCACTTGCTCCGTGGGCCAGTAAGACTGCCGCTCGGTCTTGTGCGTCTTGGTTTCACTCCCACTACCATCTCAGCTGGGGTATCAGCCACCTGTCTGCCAAAGAGGTCTAGTGCAGGCATCATGGGTCCAAGACCTGGAAGCTAGAGGTCTTCGGGTTTTTTTCTACATGTCACTTTCAAGAATAGGAGCCCAGCTGAGGGCCAGGAGGCCTGGTGGCAGTTGAACGTCTGCCCTGCTGTCACCATGAGGCTTGGGGAGGGGTGGTTAGCCACAGCGTCAGGAGAGCAATTAGTGATGTGGGGAGTGTGCATAGTGGCGCTGCCCACACTGGACTCGGCTCTTGCAGACACATCTGAGATCCTCACGCTTGATGTAGGAAACCATTTACAGATGAGAGCATGGCAGTTGAGAAGTGCAGCCCACAGTCATAGAACTAGTGAGTGCAGGGACTAGGATTTGAGCCGAGCTCTTTCTGTTACCATGCAAATACTGGCGTGGGTGCTATGAGGTCTGTGTCACTGAGCTTGGGGTGCTGGGAAAAGTGGGTCCATGAAAAGGTCTTTAAGTCTTCAGAGCAGAAAATTCCTTTTTTCCTGTCTCAATGAGATTTTTGATGTGTGGCATTGAGGCTTTTTCTAATGCATCAGAAATTATATCTGTTCATTTGTGTATTGCAGATGATAGAGTTGTCGTAACTTACTCAAAAGGCTATCAGTGTGGTGAAAATAAGACCGCATCCACAGTGATCGAGTTGACATGTGCGAAGACAGTGGGCAGGCCGGCCTACAGCAGGTAAGATGATTGTAGCATCAGAGGACCGTGGGACATGGTGCCCTGCAGAGCTCTCTGGAACTTCTCCCGTGGTTCTCACTTGGAGTTTGGCAGTGGGTATGCAGGGAGAGGAGGTTTGGGTTGCCTCAGTAGGGTAGGAGCTGGGTTACTGCTCCTCTGGGTGTGAGGACCGGGGCTGCCCCACACAGGGCAGCATTCCCTGGTGACAGGACCAGTCACCCCATCTTGGGTAGCATGGTTTGTAGACTCAAGCCACTTCCTGGTCCTTGCTTACCCTGTAAACCAAGCTCCTGGCCTGGACTTAGTGCTTTATTTGTTGGCTGGCCTCTGTCTCTGACTGTGACAGTAGGTTCAGAGGCGTGTCGATTGGTGGCACCCGAGGCCGAGTGTCCAGGCAGCAGGTGGGGCCTATGGCTGGACATTCCTGGATCCCATCAGACAGTCCCACCCCAGGTGCTAGGTGGAGTGTGGTTCCTTGGGGGTATGTGTGAGTTGATGTCAGTGAACAGACCACTCGGCTTGGAACAGGGAGACCCAGAAATTGTCAAAGGATTTCTTCCACAGCTGAACCTGAGAAGCTTGTGAAACAAAATTTCAGAAATCTGGGAGCCAACCCCAGCCCTTAAAGTGTTTCTGAATTTTGAAGCATGTACACAGGCCTGCAGTACTAAGGTGCTGGAAGGGTTTCTACCCAGAACTGGGCTGGTGGTGGCTCCGTGGCAGGCTTCTCACCTTCCACGGCGGAGACCCAGGTTCGATTCCCAGCTGGTGCGCCTCCTGTGCACCCATCGCCCATCTGTCAGGAGGGGTTTGAGTGTTGCTCTGATGCTGAACAGGTTTCAGTGGAGCTTCCAGACTGAGATGGACTAGGAGGAGAGGCCCGGTGGTCTGGCGAAAGTCAGCCGTGAGACCCCGTGAAGGACAGCAGCCTGTTCTCTGTGTGCGAGGGGTCGCCATGCGTCACGGGCTGACTCTGCAGCAGCTCACGACAGCCACAAAGCAGAGCTGCCTTCTGCGTCACGTCTGCAGTCCCTGAGCAGGCTGGCAGCCCAGGCGCCGGGAAGGGCTGATTTATGCAGTGGTTCTGTGCGCACGGGGGCTGAATGCAGGACCGACTGGGGCCTGCCGCACCTTTGTAGAAAGCCAGCACGTTTCCTTAGGGGTGTGGTGCTCTTGGTCAGTGTGTTCATCTTTGTGCGGTTGCTGGTGGCCGGGCTGGTGACTGGGGGGCTGTACCTGCTGCCTTTCAGGTTTGATATCGACAGCTGCACCTACTACTTCCGCTGGGACACCCGGGCTGCATGTGCGGTGAAGCCCCAGGAGGTGGAGGTGGTGAATGGGACCATCACCAATCCCATAAACGGCAAGAGCTTTAGCCTGGGAGACATCTATTTTAAGTAAGTCAGATATTTTCCTTCTGCTCACGGAAAAGTATTTAAAATTAGGCCAGTGGTTCAGATCTTTAACAGGCGGGGAGTGGTGCAGGACAAGTGGTTTGTGTATTTGAGCTGCTGTTGCCAGGGAGCTTGCTGTATTTTGCTCAAACTGAGAGAAAACATTATTGAATGATTAACATTTAACACCAAAGATGGTGAATTTTCTCCTAATAAAGGCCCCTTCTCCTCCCTGACATTACAGTAAGCCCAGGGTAGACACTGAAGCCTGCAAACTGTCAGCAGGAGCCTTCTGGGCTTGCCAGTTTGTGAAGAAGGAGTTTCCAGCAGTGTTGCTGGGGCGGCTGGGCTTACAGCCATCTGCACCGGGGCAGAGGGAGGCAGTGGGGTGCCGGCCACAGACGTCGGAGGAAGACCGTTAACGCTCAGACAGCAGAAGTGGGATTGGGTAGTGACACGGTTGGGGTGGGAAGTCCATACCCCAGGAGCCTTTGCAGATTCAGGAGGCACTGCCCAGGCTGGGGATGTCAGAGGAAAGCACCTCGTGCCCTGTGGTTCCACCAAGGGCTTGGGGGTTATGTAGTAAATGACGTCCTTGGAGGATGCCAGGCCTTAGGTGATCTTCTGTGTCTCTCCAGGCTCTTCAGCGCCTCTGGGGACATGAGAACCAACGGGGACAAGTACCTGTATGAAATCCAGCTCTCTTCCATCACCAGCTCCACGAATCCTTCGTGTTCTGGGGCTAACATCTGCCAGCTGAAACCTAACGACCAGCACTTTAGTAGGAAGGTGGGAACTTCGGATAAAACCAAATACTACATTCAAGGTAATTGTTACCTGTCAGTGTTCCCATTTAACATCCTCAGAGGAAGAGCTTGAAACTTCTCATGAACAAATGTCCTTAGGTTGGCATTCTAGAACACTTTACAAACAGAGCCCCTTGTGTTGACCTGCATTCTAAAGAATGGATTGCAGTGTGTGGAAGACATAGGCACTTCATGGTGGGTGTGTCAGACCTCAGCTAGACAACCACCAGCCAACCCTGGTCTAACCCCATACCTGCAAGTTGTGATGAGGTGGGGGATGCACAATTAACTGCTGATTTGGGTGCAGCCATGATGCTTTATTCAGTTTGAAACTTCATATTACAGAAGGGTAAGAGATTTGATACATGTCAAAGGCATAAAAGAGGAAGTCGAGAGACACCGGCATCCACCCTTGAGATGGTGTGAAAGGCTGGTACTGGCTCTGACAGAAGTGGCGTCCTTTGTTCCTTGCTGCCCTTCAAGGAGCTTGTCCACTGGCCACTTGTTAGTCTCCCAGCACCACTGTAACAAAAGGCACCCCGGCGGGAAGGACCTTCTCATTCACGACATGGACCTCTAATATACTTTGTAGAATCCCTGACTTTCTGAACATGTGTGTGTGTGTTCTCAGTTAATAAGACGCTTTTGTAGGCCTTGTCACTGGCCTGCTTTGTTCGCTAGCGTCAGAAAGTAGGGTTAGTTTTGAGGCCCTCTTTTGATGTTTCATGAAGAAGTGGAGTTTTAAATCTCTTCATGAGTTCACCTGAGGGAAGAGCAGGCCACAGAGGAGTTGCCATCTTGACTCCTGACTCCTCCCTGACGTGCTCCCCCACACAAGCCTGTGGAACACTGTGCCTTCCTGTCGTGGCTTGTTACAGGTGGGAGCACGTGGAGCCTTGACTGGGCATGGACCAGTAACTTGAAATTTGCCTCCAAATATGAAAGGGCCCGTGAGACCAAAGAAAGAGGCTGGCGACTCCAGGGTTGTGGTAAAGGAGATTGTTAGGAGGGACTTAAACATAAGGCAGGTCCAGGGTGGTGGCACACAGGTTCAGTTCTCTGTGCACCCCACGGGAGGCAGGGGTTTTTATGCCTCTGGTGAACAAAGGTGGCTATATGCCAAAACGTTGGACTTCATGGCCACCCCATCAAAAGTTACGTAAGAGTGATTTAGCAGGACTGTCAGAAAGCAAAGATGACCATGTTCGGCTCCGAAGCCCGTTTCCTCTTCAGGCCTTTACGAGCCACGCCTGCAGGCATCCTGTGCCTCAGAGTCGGCCCCTCATGGCCACGGGCCCACTGTTTGTGGACAGACGTGTCCCACACACCAAGCCCTCACCTGTGCCTTCCTGGTGCTCCACTGGGGCTGATAGTGGAGCGTTTAGCCAACTGCAGTGTTCAGACAGAGCAGAGCCCACACAAGACCACCCTCATTTCTGACCCAACTGTAAGAACTCAGTTCCAGTTGATTAGGAAAAGGATACAGATGAATGTCAGTCAAGGGAAGAAGTGCACAGGGCGGGGCTGGGATTTACCCACCGTGGAGCCCCCCACGTCCTCCCCGTGCAGTCTGGACACGTTGCTGTCCCAGCACTGATGTGTGGTGGCACGCACAGAGTCAGTCCCACCCACTCGGGGTGCTCCTGAGCCTCGGTGTTCAGAGTCTTCACTGGGGCTTCATCACGTAGGATGACTGATTGATTCATTGCCCATGTAATTGATCTCAGTCTCTGGGGCGACTGATACCACATGACCTGAAGCCCCACTTTCCATCATATGAGTGGTCTTTCTGGCATGGCCAGCCCCACCTTCAATCATACCATGAGCCGAGGACCGTGCCTCTCAGCTGCAGAGCTCTTTGGGTGAGGCTAAACCCCGTCCTGCACACTGGCCTGGGAAGGGGCTCGGCACGTGTGTGCAAGGGGCCTTTTTAAGGTGTAAGAGGAGAGTGCATGGGGGGAGTAGAATGCGCTATGCCTGATGCTTGACATACACCTCGGCAGACCCTTCACGGATGGTGAAGAGAAACTTCGCACCTTACTGACAAGTCCATGTAATGGTGTTATTATTATTATTATTATGGTAAATATGTTGTTGTTGTTAGGTGCTGTTAAGTCAACCCCAACTCGTAGTCGTCTTATGTACAAAAAATGAATCACTCTCTGGCCCTGTGCCAGCCTCACAGTCCTTGCTACAGCTGAGCCCAACACTGCAGCCACTGTGTCAATCCATCTCATTGAGGGCCTTCCCCTCTTTTGTTCACCCTCCACTTTACCGAGCATGGTATCCTTCTCCGGGGAATGGTTCCTTCTGACAGCATGACCAAAGTAGGTGAGACAAAGTCTGGCCATTCTCACTTCCAAGGAGCATTCTGGCTGCACTTTATCCAGGACAGACTTGTTACTTCTTTTGGGAGTCCATGGTACCTTCAATATTCCTTACCAACACCACAGCTCAAAAGCTTCAGTCTTCTTCTATCTTCCTTATTCATTGTCCAGCTCGCACGTGCATATGAGGTGATTGAAAATACCATGGCTTGGGTTAGGTGTACCTTAGTCTTCGAAGAGTCATCTTTGCTCTTCACTTTGAAGAGGTCTTTTGCAGCAGGTTTGTCCAGTGCAGTACGTCATCTGATTTCCTGACTGTGGTAAATGCATAGGTACCAGAGCACCTGCTGTTTGAACGTTCACATGGACAGCTCAGTGGCATTGATTACAGTTACCATGTTCAGCCTTCACCTCATCTAGCACTTTCCTTTTCTGACAGATGGTGACCTCGATGTTGTGTTTGCTTCGTCCTCAAAGTGTGGCAAAGACAAGACCAAGTCTGTCTCATCCACCATTTTCTTCCACTGCGACCCTTTGGCAGAGAACGGGATCCCTGAGTTCAGCCATGAGACTGCCGACTGCCAGTACCTCTTCTCGTGGTACACCTCTGCCGTGTGTCCTCTCGGGTAAGCATGGCCGTGGTGGCCCTTGGGAGTGTGTGCTGGTTGGTTGGTCTCCTCTCGTGGATAGATGCTTACCAAGTGTCTGTTTTTTGTGGGATTATTCAGACTCGTACAAAAGTAGTTGGCCCGCCATGGCCAGCATCCTGCTGTCCGTTCCACTCCTGCCCCACACCCCATGTTCCCAGGAAAGCTGCCATTTCTCCTCTGTGTGACCCATTCACCTCTGTGCGTGGACCCACCTGGTACCACCAACGCCATTTCCCACACTGCCCCCTCAGCTCCTCGGGGAGAGGTTCTGTCTCTATTCCTAGCCGTAGTTCCTTTGTGTTCTAGTGCAAGTGGGTTACATGGTGAACCTTTACTTCTATTCGAGTGAAGTATGGTCTGTATCCGAGTGAGAAATTCTGTCTAGACTGTGACAATCAGTGGTGTGTCAGGTTGCCGTGGGAATTGAGGAGGCCATGTCCCTGACGAGAGGAGGGAAGAGCACAGCCGTCGTGTGGTCTGTGGGAACTGTCTCTTCTGACCTCTTCTGCTCCTGTGCCTGAAACCACGTGCTGCGAACGGCTTGGGTTTGTCCTCTTCCTGCGCCGCTCAGGCCACCCCATCTTCACAGCTTTGCACTCTCGGTCCTGAGTCTGTAGGAGCACAATGAGCTGTCGTCGCACATGTGGTCCGTCCACCTCCTGGATAAGGACCTGCTCATCAGCAGACAGCAGAGGTAGACACAGTGTGGGCCCAGCTCCAGAGCGTACTCTTTACATCTTAATTTTCTTTTTCACTGTATACAGGCACCAGCCCAACAAAACGTAGGCAGCTGTGTCCTGAGTCACCGCAGGGCATGGCTGTGAGGGTTCTTAGCGGCACAGTCCCTGAAGGAGCCTTCTGGGGACTCTCACTGACTGGGACTTAGCTTTTGAGTAGTCATAGTATTCTGGTGACATCGTTGGAAAATAAAAGCAGGAAGCTCTTTGTGAAAGGAGTGGATTAAATAAGTCAGTGAAACGTAAAGTGAACGCTGCTTGCTTTCCAAGGCCTGGGCTCCCTGTCCAAGTGCCTTGAAGAGGTTAAAATGCCACCAACTAACTCCTGCTTCTGACGTGGGTGACTGAACTTTTTCATTTTTTTTCTACTTTCTTTTCCTGGGGACTTTGCACAGTGATAGTGACAGACTCTCAGTGGGAGGTCACTTTGCCCCAAGCTGGTGCTTTTGGGAAGAGTGTGACTTCATGATAGAGACAAGGAGCCTTGTGGCACAGTGGTTCAGCACTCATCTACGAACTGAAATCCACCAGGCACTCCTTGGGAGAAGGATGTGACAGTCTCTTATTGAAATAGTGACGTAGTAAACTTTCTTACTTAAATCCAAACCCTCACTGAGTGCCTTCCATGTGCCCAGTGTTGAACTGCAGCTGTGCCCTTAATGCCCATTGTTCTGGTTCCTTAGTGCCACTCTGACAAGAATATACCACAAATGGGATGGCTTCAGCAAACAGGAGTTTATTCTCTTATGGTTTGGAGGTTTTAAGTCCAAGTTCAAAGTGCCAGGCTCTAGGGGCTGGGTGAAAGCCCCTCAACCTTGGGGTCCAGCTCTGCCTCCTGCTCCCGGCCCCTGGAGCTAGAGGCTTTTCTTCACTCAGACAGCTGCTGGCTGCTGAGGATGCCAAGCCCAAGGTCGACAAGTAAAAAGGCACAGTCCCGATGTTACCAAATCACACAGCAGGCCATTAATTTAAGTCCATTGTGAGTCCCAAGGTCGGCAGAGCATGGCAGGCTGCTGAACAACAGCACTACATGCAGGGTCCAAGCTGTACCATAAGCTAGAGACTATCTCCAGGGCTTCTCCTTATATACAAGAGGCAGACTGCACCCCAACGGCAGCTACTCAGCTGCTTGTGGTAGATCCCACCATGGGGTTGATTGCCAGTCTCATCATAGGGAATAACTACCACCCGCTGCCCAGCCACTCAACCAGGCCCAGCCAAGTTGACACACAAACATAACTGCTACACCCAGGAAACGTCAAGGCCACATCCTAAGATGAGATTTGGGGGGGCGGGGGAGCTGTTGCCTGGGTTGTGGCCCTTGTTTCTTCCCAGAATGAAGTTGGGGAAGAGAGCACTTGGTCCTGGGACGTGGTGGCAGCTCGTATCTCAGGTCTGCTCTCGCAAGCACTGCCCCCCCTCCCTTGGAGACTCTCCCGGTTGGGCACATGGGGCTGGACAGGCCGTGTTCCTTGGAGCAGCTCTTATTCCACTCACAGTATTGCATGAAGCTAGGGCAGTGTCTTCTGATCTGCGTTCCCGTGCTCCTTGTTATCACAGAAGGTTTTCTGAAGCTCTTTTCCCCGTGAAATGGCTCTTTCGTGGCTGGAGCAGGAGTCATGGAGGTGTTTGTAGAAGTCCGAGGTGCTCTCTGAGGTGGGACTTCTTAGGGTTGACTTGAGGAGTCTGAGTGGCACCAGCAGTGAAGCACTCAGCTACTGGCAAAGGTTGCAGGTTCAAATGTTCCCAGAGGCACTTCTGAAGACAGGCCTGGTGCCCTGCTTCTGAAAGGCCACAGCCTTAGAGACCTGGAGCCGGTCTGCTCTGCACACTCGGGCACCAGGAGTTGGAATTGACCCAGTGGTGACTCACTCTCACCACCATGTGGCTGACTCGAGCATTCAGGCACCCGAGAGCGAGTCTGCGTGGCGGTGGCCTGCCGCGCGGGACCTGATCTTCGCTGGCTTCATTTCAGGGTGGGCTTGGATGGCGAGAGTGCTGGAGAGAGCGGGCCAGAGCACCAGGGGCTCTCGGGGCGGAGCCAGGCCGTGGGGGCCATTCTCAGCCTGCTGCTGGTGGCCCTGACTGGCTGTCTGCTGACCCTGCTGCTCTACAAGAAGGAACAGAGGTAAGGAGAGGCGGCCGGGCCCCCGTGGACTGGGTGTGCAGTAGAGCCGGGGGCTTGGAAGCGAGTTGCATTTGGGTCCAGCGGCAGCAGAAGTCTTACTGCTGTCAGCTGCTGTCAGATTCCTGCCTCGTGCTTTGTCGACCACAAAATAATTAGGGGCTCTTCTCTCACAGGGAAACAGTGATGAATAAGCTCACCGCTTGCTGTAGAAGAAGTTCAAATGTGTCCTACAAATACTCTAAGGTAAGTTTCTGCTGGGGGTCTCGGGTGAGCTTGCCTGCCCGTCCCCTCCCCATAACAGAGCGTGGTCACAGTTGTCAGTGTCGGTAACATTCATAAAGGCATCATCATGGACATCATCAGTGGAGCACTATCAGTGGAAATTGAAAAGGGAGATCCATTCCCCTGTGACCCTAGCATGTCTTCTGTGATTTTCCTTCAAGTTTCCTCTTGGGTTACAGTTGGTTTTTTGGTTTGGTTGCGATGGACTTCCTTGGAGGACTGTTAGTTTGCCTCTGCTCCCTTGGCTGTTCTAGAACCAAACCAAGCCTAACCCATGACCATCTTTGTCCCTCTCGCATTTGGGTTATTGTCCTCAGGTAAATCTCCAGAAAGAGGCATTCTTTGGGCCAAAGGACATCAACATTTGTGGCCCTTGGTGAATGTTGCCAAACTGCTTCTGGAAAGGTTCCCATCGGTTAGGCTTTTTGCACGTGTCCTGCTGCAGCTGCTCTTACCACGTGCCCTGCCCTGTGCCACGCAGGCACTTTGATGTGCCGAGAGCTGGGGGAGTTACTTCTTGCCCAGCATTGCTGCCTTGTCACCACCTGCCTTCCACCCTGAGTTGTCCTAGGGCTCTCTAGGGAAACAGAACCAGACACACACACCCACACCCACACCCACACCCAGCACAAGTGCTGCTTCAAGGGATTGGCCATACAGTTGTCGGGGCTCAGTCAGTAGGGGGCCAGCTGTGGGGGCCGGCAAGTCCGAAACCTGTGGGCCAGGTGACAAGCTGGGGACTTTGTGGGTTTGTGTTCCAAGATCCGTCAGTCAGGTGAAGAGAAGAGTGTGGAATCCAGAGAAGTGAGCAAGTTCTGCCAAAAACATCTGTTTATGGTCTGAAGGCAGACCATGCCGTAAAGAACTCCCCGTCAACTGATTGATTGGTTACATCCCACTGATTATGTTATGAGAAGTGGTGACGTTCCAGTGCATTAGATTGCATTATGGGAGGTGAATACGGTACATGCGTCAGATTACACGATGGGAGGTGAAGACTTTACATTGTATTAGATTACATTATATAACAGCAGCTAGTCTAGTGTTTGGCAGAACAACTGAGAACCATAGCCTAATAAAGCTAATGCATAAAATGAACCATCACGTGATTACCTTCTGCTTGGCTCTGCCCACTTGTATTACTCTTGGGGTCCCGGTGGAGCAGGCAGGGGGCCAGCCCTAGCCTTGCCCCTGGTAGGGCCCTGGGAGCTAGACAGGCCATCACCACTGTGGGGAGGGGCCGTCGCCCCAGTTGGGGTGAGTCCTGGGCTGGTCTGTGGGAGAATAATGAGTCTCAGGGGCTCATGTGGTCTTTGCGGTTGGTCCCACAGGTCAGCAAGGAGGAGGAGGCCGACGAGCATGAGAGTGAGTGGCTCATGGAGGAGATCCAGATGCCAGCCCCCAGACCCGGGAAGGACGGGCAGGAGAACGGCCACATCACCACAAAGTCGGTGAAAGCCGACGCCCTCACGTCCCTGCACGGGGACGACCAGGACAGCGAGGATGAGGTGCTGACCATCCCCGACGTGAAGGTGCACTCTGCCCGAGGGTCCGGGGCGGATAGCTCGCACAAGACAAGGAGCCCCCCGAGGAAGGCAGGTCGGGAGTGGGATGATGACAGGCTGGGGTTGGTCAGAGAGGAGAGGGCCCGGAAAGGGAAGTGCAGAGCCGGCCAGCAGAGGCCAGGGCACTCTGCCCACCCGGTGGCCTTCCATGACGACAGCGACGAGGACCTCCTCCACGTCTAACCCCTGGTGCCTCCGAGGGAAGACACATCATGGCACGACAAAGCACCTCCAACCAAATAAGACTTTACCGCCATGACGCTTCTATCATTTTTGCCTTTGACAAAAACGATTTCACAAGGGAAGAGTTTTTGTGATGGGGGAGAGGGTCACGAGGCCCGGCGCTGCTTGCGTGGGTGCTCACAGTCATTGGAACACAGATTGGCCAGAGGGGGACCTCGTTCCAGGGTTCTGCCCCCAGTGCTGCCCGCCGTGCGTGTCCTCATGCCGGCTGACGTATCTCAGAACAGAGGGCTGTTTTTGACAGAACCCTCGCTGCTTTAGTCCCTGTTGGACATTTGACCATTCTGTTGAGCATCTTAATTCTCTCCTTGTATTTATTGACTTTAACATTTACTCAGGTTTGCGAAAAAGGAAGAAAATCAAACCAGACAGCAGCAGTATCTTCCTGTGGCCCAGGGCGTCACCTACTGGGTTACCCGTTAGTAGAAGGGAACCCTGTTAGTGCACTAGGGAAGTGGACCCAGGGCCCAGGAACTGGTTGCTGGTGTAGCCCCTACGTTAGAATACTCCATCCTGTCTTTTCCTTTTTGCTTTCTGCTCTGAAGGGAACACGCACGCGTACGCACACGCCACACGCGTGCGCACACGCACACGCGTGCACGCAGACCTTGAGTGCCTGGGCTCTGGAGGCTTGCCTGTCTATGCCTTCAGTTGGTCACCGGCTACTGCTTTTTGCATGGCATCCTCAACCTCAGTGGACAGGGCATGCTTGTCAGTATTTCTACACACGGCCCAGCCAAAGATGGATTGTGTACGTGTGTGCGTGGGGTTGAGTTGGCCAAGCACATTACTCTTTCCAGATTTGGGGTTTAGGTCTCATCTCTTCAGGGTCTCACAATACCACCTTTACTGTGCTTATTTTTTTAAAGAAAAATGCATTGATCAACCATTCGACCTATTGAAGCCTTAATTTGCACAGTGTGTGACTTAGGGAGATGGCATGAGAGAAGGTGGGTCCTCACCTTGCCCCGTGTGGGCCTGGGTTTGTGCTCTAGATGGGCCGCGGTGGGACCCATGGTGTGGCCAGAACGGACGGACGGGCAGCTCCGGTGCCCTCCCCCTCGTGGCTGGTGGCTCCTTTCTCGATGTTTCTGGGGAGACTTTTGGGGATGGGTGTCATGTTTTAGAGCTGTACATAGACTCACAGTATTCATCTATTTAGAAGCAAACCGCCCTCCACAATGCCGGTTTGCACCCGGTGTGGCTGGCTTATTTGATTTCAACATGAGTGTATTTTTAAAAATTGATTTATCTCTTTTTTTTTTCAATCAAGTTTACTGTAATATAACGTATTCAACAATTTCAATAAAAGATAAATTATTAGTTGGGTGTTGCGGTTTTTTCCATGGACGCTCTTGGTCCTGCCCACTTGCCTTCAGTGTCTTTCTAGGTTAAACAGGTGTCTTGAATCTGGGTTTTAGCTTCAGTGTTCTCCTTGGCACTGTGTGAAGCAGCCCTCTAGTTTCTCTTGAGTCTGCTTTGCTCAGTAGGTGTTACTAAACGGAGATCCAGTTGGCCTTCCCAGCGTTACTGAGATCTAATTTCCTCACTCTTTCTAAGAACACCCACCTCCGAGGGTGCCGTTTTCCAGAACAACGGCCGTGGAGGGGAGAATCCCATGATAGAGTGGAGCATGTGCTCGGAACCTCATCTAAGAGTTCTTCCTTACGGTAGTGTTTTCTCTCGAATAAATCCAGAGTCTTCCATCTTAAATTCCTAGTCAGTCACAGAGCGCTACCAGAATGTTAACATCAAAGCAGAGAGCTACTGCTTTGTTAAAAACAGATTTCTTAGGGTCCATCTCTGTCTTGATTCTCTAGTGCTGCTATAATGGAAATACCACAGGTGCATGGAGTTAACAAACGAGAATGTATTCTTTGACAATTTAGGAGGTTACAAGTCTGAATTCAGTGTGCCAGCTCTAGGGGTTGGGTGAAGGCCCCTCAGCCGTGGGCTTCAGCTCTGCTGCTTGTTCCAGGCCCACTGGGGCTGAAGGCTTTTCTGACTCATGCA